TATTTTGATAATTAATGTTCGAACTCACTGGCGATTCTAAAAATGACCTACTGGCTTTGTGAACTTTTACTGAAAAGCAATCGGCTTTATGGCCGTTATTGCTCAGTTTTGAATTTTATAGRTCTAAAATATATTTTCTGAAATAAAAATCATTGATCTAATGCAGGCATATTATAGTCACATTTTTATGAATTTGATTTCTATTTCAAAAATACCTTCATTAAAACACTTTTAATAAACACAAAGCCGCACTGAAACACCCATTAATCAACACTCATACCTTAACCATAAACACTGGTCAACACTCAGTGGTTTGCATCGATTATAACCAATAAATTTAAGACAATTTTGCAACAAAAAACTAAAATAAAACCATTCTTGAAACTAAATAAAGCCATAAATGCTTAGTAAAAGGTTGGTGTCCCAGCAGATATATTCTGTTTTTGCATAAATAAATTGGCAAATGGGGGCAAAATAAAATGTGATCAAGTGTTATGGATCGACAGCAACACCGCAAAAGATTAATTTACAGAAAAAGAAAAAAATTGCTTTCTGGAAACTGGTTTATGGGCTAACTATACAATTGCAAACTTATTGTGGCTTAATAAATGTATTTCATGCTAGTTTCAAGCATTATTAAGGATGTGATGGAAAGAGGGTCACACTATTTGTATGAGTTACTGTGTGATCGATCACTTGCAGAACGAAAAATGATCAAAAATAGTAAACTGTTGCAGTAGATGGAGTTATTCATATTCAAGAAACGTTAAAAAATTATAGTCGATTAAAAATATTTCTTGTGTAATATTAATAAATTTCAGCGTTTACGCGAGCAATGTGCATAACTGATCGTGAACATAATATTTTCAAACTGATATTTTTGTAAATAAATAGAAAATTTACTTTCAGTATAGCGATGTCGATTTGTTTGTTAAATGTTAGAGCAGACATTCGCTCTTTATGGCCACTACTTTTTGTGATCTAATTAGCGATCGCGTTGTGTGATCGTGTGAGAGTCAATGTAAAAAAAAAATTTCTGATAGGTGTGGGAAAGACGACAATTTAAGCCGTCACTCTACTTTTTTGCAGGCAATTGCTTTGATTTCATAAGCGTATTGGACACAGTAAACGTTCGTTGGTCATGACAACGCGATCTTGAAATGAATTACAAGTTTGATAAACTGATTTGGATGTGTTTTCATGAGTGAAAACATAATAAGATAATACAAATTACAAGCAAATTGCCTTTGAATATATGAGCGAGGAGTTTTCATTGCAACTAGTATAAGCTGATTTCATCGAACATAAAAATGAAGAACATTTCATTATTTTAAAACTTTGCTCTATCTACGGTAAAATTTGTTAAAAGCAAGAAAAATCTTCAACTTCGCTTTAACTTTGATTCTTTAACATATGGCTCAGGCAGCACACAACTTCCAAGTAGACCAAGTATCCTCTGGGTAGCCAAAGAACATCCGTTTAAAGGATCCATCACTCCCCATGGTTTAGAACCCGCCTCATAAAAAAAACCCTCCCAATGAAAAGGAAACAACAACCTCGGGCAAGAGGCTCCTTATTCGATTGCATTATTGCTTTAGATAATGACATAGACCAAATCTCGGGAAATTTGCTGTAATGAAAAAGTTTTCCATACATGCWCTGCAATCGATCGTTCAGTTCTATGGCAACTTTATGCTATAGTAGTCCGATATCGGCGCTTTAAATATCGGACTACTATATATAAGCAACTTCTTGGACTATATAACAAATGAGCAACTTCTTGGGAGTAGAACTAACAGTTTAATTGCTAAATAAGTAAATATAAATGTTTCTAGGAAAAAGAAGAATACTTAAAACAAATTAATATCTCACAAAAAATATATTTTTTTGCCAAAATAGAACAAAAACTTTTCTATAAAGACGAATGATTTTTTCTAAAGACGACTTTTTAAGCTTAAATGAAAAAAAGCTATRATTTAAACTTAAGCTTATCTAAACTCAAGTTCAATCTAAGCCTCTTGTCACACGTTTAGTAATTTTTACTGAGAAGTAACGGTATCTACTTACAAGTAGAGTGTACAAAAGCCACATCACTTATCTTCACTTATTTGAATTTCACAATGCAAGCCATAATAAAATGTGACACCACATGAAAGATCAACAGACAAAGATCGAAAAGCCATGGATTTTCGTGCTTCTCGGAATAAGCAAATGAGTAATAAAAGAATGCACACATAAAAGCATGTTGCAACACGAACAGCTGTGAAAACAGGTATACKAGAATTAAAAAGAAATAAAATGCAAGATGATTTCGAGTTCAGACGCAACTTTCGAATGAAACAAAGAACGAGGAAAGACGAAAAAAAATGAACAGCTTGAAACGAGGTTGCTAGCAAACGGGAAACAACGCAGTGCTGAACAACAGAAAATCATGAACAAAGTACGAGTTAAAGACAGTCAGTCAAACAAGCCAAACACCTTATTAAATGGAGTRAAAATTATAGGTAGAACTTGTATAGTAGCTGTCAATGGTAATGAAAAGAAAGGGAAGGGCACTCAGTCATATGCCAGTTTTTATTGTTAACCTTCTAAGCGTACTTAATGTATTCGTTGAGTAATTGTTATTTATAATAAGCCATTTTTTACACTTGCAGCATGTGAATGATTATTGGAGAAAAAGAAATCGAACAAATTAGTGATAAATGAACCACTAAATTAAATAGAAAAAATGTATGCCGTTGAAATGAAGTATCCAAGAAGATGTACTTTTTTCCATAGACTCTTTTCGACAGATCAAACGTGAGTCATTTCAAGTTGTCCTGTTGTTTTGTTTTTTTTTTTTCAGCATCGTTTTAGTAATTTCATCACCATCATGGAAGGACTAACGCTTGAACAACGTTTACAAATCTTTCAACTTTATTATGGAAATTCAATTTATTAYGGAAATTCACGTTCTATAAAAAATATGCTTCGCGCGCTTCGCTCAACTTATGGTTAACATAATCCACCTACTGAGCGTACGAYTCGCAACACCATCAGCCATCTTGAGACTCAGCATTCATTACTGGATAATATTCGACCGAATAGATCACGTCCAGCAAGCAGGGAAGAAAATATATAGCTGTCGCAGCTGGGAGTGTGCATGAAGACTATGGAGCCGATTTGGTTCCGATCGCAGCAACTTGGACTGACGTATGGAACGACTTGGCGCATTTTACGTCAAGATCTTAAATTRAAAGCATACAAAATATGGAATCATCGGTCCATATTTCTTCAAAAAATATCCCAGTGAGAACGTATTGCCTTATTGCGCCATGATAATCGACTATTTGATGTATGAAATTGAAGCTCATGATCTCGGCGATATTTGATTTCAACAGGACGGCGTCACTTTCCACACATCGCATCAATCAATGGATTTATTGAGAGAACACTTCAGATAATTTCCCGTTTTCATCCGGTCGATTGGACACCAAGATCGCTTGATATACCATTGATGATGATATGATGATACCGTTAGACTTTTTCCTGTGGGGATACGTAAAGTCTTAAGTTTATGCGGACAATCCCGCTCCGATTCAGGCCTCGTCGAAAATTGTTCTAAGCGGTTGGACCATCTAATACGTAGCCATTAAACAATCTCGCGACAGATTCCTTTAATGAACACATCCGAAGCAGAGATTGTGTGGTTAAACGCAAACTGAGGAAATGTTTTCTTGGAATCYACATCTATCTTGGATACCTTAAAAGTGCTTTAAAAGTTACTTATAAAGGATTTTCGCTATTTTCAAACCTGATACAGTAGCTCAAAGATACTACAGTTGAAACAATGAGCTCAGCTTTAAGCAATTTGGAATTTAATCGCATTTAAAGTGTAATGTACTTGAAAATTCCATTCGAATCAGCAGATCCAAGTAAAATGAAGATAAAGCATAGATGCTGTRCTAAAAGCCATCATCAATTTAAGTATTTAAAGTTCAAACATATTTGAAAAATGAATTGAATATTTCCAAACTAAGCCATGGTATGATATTTAAGCCGAATAAGTTTTCAGCAACATTCTTATTGCGGATCTAGAGAGAATTTATAAGTTTAAAGGTCATTGAAGCGTCGTAATAGTTAAGGTCTTAAGTCGATATTTGCTTTCAAACCAATTTCGTAAGATTGATAAAAAGAAATCAAGTACTTTCCCAGAAAGAAATAATTTTTTAAGSAGTTTGTTAAAGTATCTTATTTGGGTATGAGGTATCCTGTCTTCAAACATAAAACAAAAGCTTGGCATTCGCCAGTAAAATATTGCAGTTACAGCTCTTCTGATAATCRTAAGAAGTGACGAAACCCCATAAAAAATTACCTCAAAGTGTTCAAAATATTTTATTTTCCCCTCAAGCTTATCGCAACAACGTCATATTATGGTGCTGATCAATACAAAAATAGGCAAATATGTCTAGTTGTCAATAAGTACATTTGATTGAACTAAATTAGAAAGCCAATACTTGCCTATCGGACCATCAATCAGTCAGCGCAACGGCATAGGTAGATCTGCTGATAGCGATACGACAGACGACACTAGCTTTTTGCGTCTAATTAACTAACTAATCAGTCAGCCTACTAGATGGCTGTTATTATAGGCAATATTATATTTATTTTAAGCGCAGAATAATGAGCATCAACAACGGCTATATTTGTATGTGTGTATTTTTGAAATAAAGAATTACGAAAAAACAAAAATAATGGTATAATCTTGTCGCAGATGCACGCGTAACATACAACTGTCAATTTAAATTAAGTGCCGATTTCCTGCAAGTAAATTAAATGAGCTTTGTGGGTATGTRCATATGTAAGTATGACAGCCTTTCAGTGTTGCAGCCAGTTTGGTTATTATAAGCATTTTGTTTTTTTTTTTTAATTTCTTATATGTATGTATGTATATATTTATCTGCTATTTATTTTGCTGCGATAGCAATTTTGGTTTCTTTGTATATCGGTTCGGTACTCACCTAAACGCAGTTCTCCGAAATTACCACAGCCAATTTTTTTACCAACACGAAAATTTGGTCCGACCATAAGTACCCCCGTGGAGGCGCCTACAGCTTGGCGGGTGGCATACATGTTGCCAGAGCTGGTTGTGTTACGCGTTCCGCCGCCTCCACCACCTCCRCCGCCGCCACCACCACCGGTACCTGATGTTCCAGCAGCCTGTGTTCCACCACCACTAAAAAACAAAAAAACAAAGAGAAGAAGAGTATATATTAGCACAGCTTTCATTGTTTGTAATAAAAATTAATTTGCAACAAAGCAAGCGGTTATTGAAAAATTTGTATTTATTAAAAAATTTTCATTAAAAAAAACTTAAAATTATGTTTATTGCAGTAAAGTCGCCGTTAGTTGCGGTACACAAACCGCTTACGGGTGTTTGTTTACAAGGTGCGCTTAAGCAACTTTACCAAATTGCTTTTATAGACACTTTTATCGTTTTCCTGCATTCTCAATATTTTCGAAAAATGYTTCAAAATGCAGATATGTATTTTGTATTCATGTTAACGTCAGTTTTTTGGCAATAGTAAACGTACAAATATTTCCTTATATCTTTTAGAAATTTCGGCGCCATGCTTTATGCGCTTTCAACAACAACAACACACGCACAATTATTACACGTTGACATTAAGTATTGAAATTTTGATTTTCGCCTTGTTCAAAATTTTGAAAAYTCTAATTTCTTCTCTTTATAAATGTTTACTTTATTCGTTTTCTATTAAATTTTTTTGTTTGTTTTAGTTTTTCCGTTATACACAATTAAGCGCGGTTCGTATGTTTGTGTGTTTGTGTGTAATTTGGTTGGAAGCTATAATTATTTGGTTTTGGTTTCAAATACGTACACATTGCCTGTCGAAACTTCCATTGACGCGACATGGAATTAATATTGAATTTCAAATGCCAAAAATTGTGTTTTGTAGGTGTGTGTGTTTTTTTTTATTTTTCACCGAACAGTTATTTTTTGATTTTGTTTATGAGCCAAAATGGAAATACAAGAAAAGTAAATTTTGTTTCAACTTGAAGTACAACTACAGGAGTTGTTGTTCATGGCGAAGCGCTTATTTGTAAAGTGAAAATAAATAAATGTAAATAATTGGACAAGTTTTTTCTTACACCAGGGTAGATAGTTTTTGAAAGCAAAATGTAAATAATTCGAACATTTATTTTAGAACTGGGTATAATATAACTTTTGAAAGCGAAGAAAAAAAACAATTAGGATGACATCCAATAGACATTAAAGCTAAACTAACAAAAATGAAAGCAAAAATAATTTAAAGTAAATCAAAAAAAGATTGTATACTAAATAAAAAAAAAAAAAAAAAAACCAAAAACTTTTTATATGAAATTTTCACATTTTGAGGTTATGTCCAACAACTTTGCCATACAACTTTTTTTTATAGAACTCATAGTTTGTTTTGCCGGAAATCCGTCCAGACTTCATCGTCTGTAAATTATCATGCTCTTCACTTTTGTTATTTTGTCTTTCGTTTTAAATGGGTTTCATCATACTATGCTACTATGCTACTTTTTTTTTTAATTTTTGCCATTTTCAAATGCTTTTGAGCCAGTCTATTTTGCTTTTGCAAAAGCTTTATAGACCAAGTTTTGAACCCACGTCTTACGAGTATAGCCAGAAGTAGTCATACATATAGTTGTAACACTAATATAGTGTGTACTATAAATACCCACCCAATTTTAGGGGCCATTGAAGTTCTGGCAAGTGATAGTGAACCATCAACTCTCAAACTTTTGTTGAGAACAAATGTTACTAGATACTCATGCTCAATACAATGGCGAAATATTCTACAAACTTTAGTGGGCTTGGATTTCACAGTGGCTGCTCAACTGTGCCAACTTACAGAGATTCATCCGGAATTCATTATAGACATCAGCACATATTAAATATGTTCTGAACCTAATTGGGTTGCTTCATAAATTCCATCTTTAATACACTATTGATAATATTGTTCGTAATTGTAAGTGATATGATTTCTTTAAAAAAAAAATACATTACTTGTTTAGAAAATTTTTCTTTTTTATTTAATGTGAAGTCCACGACTTCTTTTGCAGGAACGAATTCAATGAACCGAATTTTCGAATTCTGAGACTGAGGCTCTGGTTTATTCCTTAAGACCAATGACTTTAAATAATCCCAGAAGAAGTAGTCGAATGGTGTTAAATCACAACTTCTTGGAGGCCATTCAATATCACAATTTCTTGAAATAATCGAATCTCCAAACTTTTCTCGCAATAATTAGATTGTTGCAAGTGCATTTTGTTCGAACCAAATGTTGTCAAGACCATCTTCTTCCAATTGTGGTCATAAAAAGAAGGTTATCATCTACCTATACCGCTCTCCATTGACAGTAGAGGTGTCAAAAGCTGTATTTCGAAAGAAGTACGGACCGATGAGTACACCAAACTGTCAATATAGGTGAACATCATGGTGTTTCATGAATAATTTGTGTACAGTTTTGTTTATTTACAGCACCACTCAGATGAAAATGAGCCGCATCGGAGAAGATGATTTTCGAAAAAAATTGTTATCGTTTTCAAGATGCTCCAAGGCAAAATCAGCAAATGTACGACGTTTACGGTCGGTACAAGGGCTTTAGCTTTTGAGTGTAAAGAAGCAAGCCCAAATCCTTTCTCAAAATCCTTAGGTTGTGGTTCGTTCAATCAACAAATTGCTGTCTTCAGCAACACCCTTTCTTTATCTTATTGGTACTTGAACATTATGCAATGAAAATGTACGCTTGAAATTTTCAAGTAGTACGACTATCGAGCAGAAGTGGACTTACATACATATATTACGCCCATAAATTAAAACAACTACGCTGAAATCGGGAAAAGTCGGAAATTTTATGCCTCGACCTTTTAGAGAGAATTATTGATTACCAAGGAAGCTCAAAAAGTTATGAGTACACAACTAGAAATTCATAGTTATTTTCAATGAAAATATACCCTTACATAACACCAAAATATCAAACTGTCAGTCAGTGATTGTTAGCAAACACTTTAACATTACGAYAACAGAATTATTTGAATGATGAATGAAATCTCATAAAACACTAAACAAACAACAACGGTAAAACACTAATAAACAAAAAGTGGACGGTACACAGCTGTTGTAGAATTTATTGAGATCTCAAAAACATGAATTTAAGACAAATAGCACAAATAATTATGCTCACAAATTAATGGCGCAGAAACATTCGTCAAACTGGCGGCAATTTGATGCATGCAATGAAGCCTAAAATAATATGAGAAGATTTTCGTAGGAAAGCACATTTGCAAATCCGACAACAAGTAAAGTGGAAAATCAATATACAATGGTTGAGCAAAATGTACAAATAAAATCTGTATTTTATATGTATGTAGAATCATAACAGATAAAGATTTAGGGTTTCGTGGCATAGTAGATGCTCCAAAAAATACTCAAAGTAAGTAGGAAAGGGAAAGTGGTTCGCAGACAGCTTTGCTATGTACGAGTACAAACGAATGTAGCTCTGAATTATGAGCATTGACAGGCAGACAAGTAATATAAAGTAAAATTTTGTAGAGCAATTTGGAAAGCTATGAAATGGACAAAAACGAAAGATGCAAAGAAGCGAAAACAAAATGATTTGTTGGCGGCAATATTAGTAGCGAGGTGAGGTGAGTTTCAACTGTCACAGCGGGAAAAAGTTTTGGAGCTTGAAAGCAATTTGCTGTGATGGAATAAGGGAAGATAAATAAAAAATAATAATTTAGTTGCTGTGCGGTTATTKTGCTTACTTTGAGTTAAGAAAATGAAAATTAAAAAGGAATTTTCTTTTTTTTAGATAGATTTTGCACGTAAGGYATAAATTCCACTTAAAAAACAAAAACAAAAAAAAACCTAATCCATAATTTAATAGATAACTTGATGCATTATTCTTAGCAAAGTATGTACTTCTCGAAACAACAAAACCAATTATAAGAATTTCAAAGACTATAGAGTAGAGAATCAGTATAAACGATGACGATGGAGCAGACGTTCCGACCGACCATGAAGAAGAAGTTCGAATAGCAATTACCCGTCTGAAGAACAACAACGAACGGCGAACGAACCGATGGATTGCCGACCGAGCTATTCAAATTCATAAAAACAGAGACTCCACAATCTGCGTCTAGTACCGTTCGTACTGTGCGAAAAATTAAAGCCCACCGTCAACAAACTTATTGGATCAGTGTGGCTTCAGAGCTGGAAAATCAACCACTGACCARATATTCACCATRCGTCAAATCTTGAAAAAGACMCTTGAAAGGAGGATTGACACACACAACATCACTATCGATTTYAAAGAAACCCTCGACAGCRCGGAARGKAACTGCCGCTTTGCCACCATGCCTGAATTTGTTATCCCCGCAAAACTAATATGGCTATGTAAACTGACGGTCAGCAACGACAAGCTCTGAATCAACTCTCTATCGTGCGACTGCTTCAATGTACTCTTGGCGTACGCCAATGACATCGATATCATTGGCCATAACAACCATGCCGTTAGTTCTGCTTTCTCCASKTTGGACAAGGAAGCGAAGCAAATCCGTTTGGTTGTGAACGAAAGCAAGACGAAATATCTCCTAAATCACTATTGATAGTGATAACTACGAAGTTGTAGATAATTTCGYCTATCTTGGAAYCAGCAGTAACACCAACAACAACGTCAGTCTCGAAATCCAACGCAGAATAATTCTTAGGAACAGGTGCTACTTCGGACTAAATAGAACAAAGGCAAATTTGTGACTCATTATCTCCGTGCTATTATATGGTGCAGAGGCATGGACGATGACAATATCTGATGRGACGGCGTGACGAGTTTCCGAGAGAAAGGTTTAATGGAAAATGTGCGATATATACGCCGACATTGATATATGTAGAGTTAAATCGTCCGAATGAATGAAAAAACKCTAGCTTTGATAGTATCCGACGCAGTATCCACCAAGGAAAGCAGGGGAAGAGAAAGACCGCCATTACGTTGGAAAGACCAGGTGGAGAAAGCAGCAACTGTTGAGAAGAAACCCTTTAATACCCGGTTTAAGCTAGAAGACAGTTCTTCAAAAACAGTGTTCGTAGTGCTTTGATTGGAGTTTTTCATACAACTTAAAGTGTAAAGAATATTTTTATATTAATTTTTATATAATTTACGATAGAAGCAGCTGAAAAGCSTTGAATGGAAAATATCGAAGCAAGACTCGACAGTTATTATATTTAAAATATATCAAAATTATGCTTGCAAATAAAAAATACAGAAATATCATAAGAAAGACGAAATCAAGTGAGAGGAGTATAAGAAAGAAAGATAAATCAGAAAAATAAGTCAGGTGAAAATATGACGGGAAAGCGAAACGCTTCATGTAATATTTAGCGACATTTTATGAACTTGTAGTAACATATGTAAACACTATTGGGACATTGTAGGCCACAGGCAACCAAAGGACAATGACATTTTCGCCACACACGGACATTGGTGACCAAGCAGAAGCCGAAAATGATGAAGAATAAGTCATGAAATAGAAGCCATAAATAGCGAATGAAAAACCGCGTTCCACACAAAAAGCGCTAAAAGTGCCATACTTGACTATATTTGCCATTCACGCGAGTGAGATCCGATACACACACACGCACACATG